TGTCAAATGTTATTTCAAAAAGGGGCACATTGAAACGTGATTTCAAAAGTATACATTTTCAAACCCCATTCTAGTCAGAACTACTAAAAGTGTTCTGCTTTTAGCTGAAAACAGAAGCTGCGTCCAAAACCGTATACTTCCATACTATATAATACGCTAAAAACAGTATGCGAGCCAAGTTCGAATTCATTGTATTCGAGAAACAGTATGCGAGAAGTACCAGAATGACCTCCTAAATCCCGTCAGATTCTGAAGTGCTGAAGTCATGATGCCAAGCGAGAGAATTCATGAATAGGAGTAAAGCGACGCAACTGATGTTGGTAGGTCAAGTAATTATGAGAAATGGCGAATGTAGTATGTCTGAATTCCATTCATAGTCCTCACATTCATACTAAATAGAACATACTTCTCTGACGATTGTCTAGTATATTCAAATTCATATGTAGTACTGTACCTACTCGAGTAGTAAGCAATTTGGGACACAGCCAATGTCTTTGTAAATCTTCCTTGCTAATAATCAATTTAAAACCCTATGAACGGTTTTTAGTGAATGTGAATGAGAAATATATACTTTTTAGCAAAACATTACACCTTCAACTTTAATAAGAGTTCTCCAGTGGGGGCCAATTGTATTCCTGCATCCCCCTCTGAATTCCTGCATCTCTCCAAGGAAACTTTAGCATTCACTGTCCCGCTCACCATGGACACAGACATATAGATCAATGCCAGAAATGCAATTTACTTGATTTGCATTAGTTCAGTCAGCAAGGATATTGAACTCAGAGACTTTTCGTAATAAAACTATTTTAAATTGATTTGAACTGTTTGACCTTAATGTCACTCTTTGCTGGCAGGCTTCCCATCATCATCTGCACTTTTACAACATTTTGTTTTGCTTTGACATAAACAACTGAAGAGTGATTACTCAATAACTGCATTGCTGCACACTCAAAGTAAGAAACACAAAGCTATACCAAACTCAGGGTTTCTAAAGGTTATTAGAGTAAATGTATGAGTTATGAGTTTCGAAGCCTGTTTATGAGATTAAATTTATGAGTTACGACCATTTTAAAACTAACATTTAAATGAATAATACACAGACCGGACACTTTATTAGGTACAACTGTCTGACTGCTCGTTGATGCAAGTTTCTAATCTGCTGATCACATGGCAGCAACTCAATAGATTTAGACATGTAGACATAATTAAGACGATCTGCTGCAGTGTAAATGGAGCATCAGAATGGGGAAGAAAGGTGATTTAAGTGACTTTGAACGTGGAGTGGTTGTTGGTGCCAGACGGGCTGGTCTGAGTGTTTTAGGAACTGCTGATCTACTGGGATTTTCACGCACAACCATCTCTAGGGTTTACAGAGAATGGTCTGAAAAAGAGAAAATATCCAGTGAGGGGCAGTTCTGTAGGTGCAAATGCCTTGTTGATGCCAGAGGTCAGAGGAGAATTGCCATACTGGTTCGAGCTGTTAGAAAGGCAACAGTAACTCAAATAACCACTCGTTACAACCGAGGTATGCAGAAGAGCATCTCTGAACACACAACACGTCCAACCTTGAGGCGGATGGGCTACAGCAGCAGAAGACCACACCGGGTGCCACTCCTGTCAGCTAAGAACTGGAAACTGAGGCTACAATTTGCACAAGTTGAATTGGACAAAATAGAAGATTGGAAAAATGTTGCCTAGTCTGATGAGTCTCGATTCCTGCTGCAACATTTGAATGGTCGGCTCAGAATTTGGCGTCAACAACATGAAAACCTGAACCCACCCTGCCTTGTATCAACGGTTCAGTCTGGAGGTGGTGTAATAGTGTGGGGGATATTTTCTTGGCACACTTTGGGTCCATTACTAGTACCAATTGAGCATCATGTCAACGCCACAGCCTACCTGAGTATTGTTGCTGACCATGTCCATCTCTTTATGACCACAGTGTACCCATCTACTGATGGCTACTTCACTAGCAGAATAATGCGCCATGTCATAAAGCGTGAATCATTTCAGACTGCTTTCTTGAACCTGACAATGGGTTCACTGTACTCAAATGGCAATCAAACAGAGCACCTTTGGGATGTGGTGAAATGGGAAATTCGCATAATGGATGTGCAGCCGACAAATGTGCAGCAACTGCGTGATGCTATCATGTCATTTTGGACCAAAATCTCTGAGGAATATTTCCAGTACCTTATTGAATATATGGCACATTCTTAAAGATTTAAGGCAGTTCTTAAGGAAAAAGGGGGTCCAACCCAGTACTAGTAAAGTGTGACTAATAAACTGGCGGGTGAGTGTATTTTGCAAATATGTAAAATACAAACAAGTCATTTTCTCTACAAGTAAATATATACAAATCACACAGTGAGTTGTATGAGCAGGGCTATTATTAACAGTCTGAAAATACAACTTTGTCCCAAAACTTGGTGATATAATAAGAATCTCATATCACGATTTTAGTCATCTTATATCCTGATAATGATATATATCAGGGTATTCACCTTATTGTTTGCCGAGGAGCGGGCGCAGCCATTAGAATCTTTTTGGCTCGAGACTTCCGGTCTTATCCACTCATTCATTTTTAGATATTAAAAACTGCTCGTTACGCTGTTTGATGTTGCAAACTGATATTTTCTTGTTATATTATTCTACTTGGTCTGTATGCTCTACAAACAAGTGTTTGCATGACTAAGTAGTTTGACCGTTTTCTGCCGTTTATTATTCCTAGTCATTTCTCCTATAGGCGACTGAATCGGAAGTTCTAAAACAATCGCGAAATCAGGCGCACTTCCGCATTTTAGAATAAGGTCATTAGTACCATTTCTTTATATCAGTTAAATAACAGTTTATATACAGACCACAAATGAGGAACTGTATAATTTTTACATTTTAAATTAAACACTCAGAAATGTCCTCATTCTTATGTGATCACATTTGTCACATTATTTAGAACTTATTTAGCAAATGTTTGAATTAAATTATAAGAATAAATATCAATAAAGTAGAAACATTTTTAAATACCTCTAAATAAAATGCAAAATGTAAACATTGTGCATTTCTCACACTGCTGTTATTCGTGTTTCTGTCTGCATCCCCGTAATAGTGTATAATATTGTGCTTGTATAATTTATGAAAAAACATTACCATAAACAATGTATTTTGTTACCCAATAATACAAATGACTTTTTATCTACTTATTTTTTGGCATTTTGTCTCTATTTGACAGTAGAATAACAGGAAGAGAGAGGGAGAGAGAATAGGGAAAGGTCCACATGCCGGAATATGAATTTGAGATGGCCAGAGCACTGGTGGTGGTTCAGCGATCTAACCACTGGGACATTGCGCCGAAACGAGTTTTTATTTGTCCATACGATATCTTGTCATCTTGCAGAGCCCTAACTTTTAGAACTTTTAGAAATGTTAAATGAAAAATCTTACTGCATCCAACCTCGGCAATGCAATAAGTCTTGATTGTGCAGCTCAACAATCCCCCCACATTTAATGAGAAAATGTCTTTTTGTTTTTGACCTTAAGAGTTCATACAGTGCATTCACAAAGTATTCATAGCGCTTTCTTTTTTCCACATTTTTTGCTACAGTCTTATTCAAAAATGGATCAAATTCATTTATTTTTACATGATGGGAAGCAACGGTGTACAGCCATTTTCAGATCTCTCCATTGACATTTAATGGGATTTAGGTCGAGGCTCTGGCTGGGCCACTCAAGGACATGCACTGAGTTGTTGTGAAGCCACTCCATTGATATTTTGGAAGTGTGCTTTGGGTCACTGTCCTGTTACAAAGACATTGGCTGGAAGACATCACCCCAGTCTGAGGTCAGGGTGTCATTCAGGGTGCAGGTCTTCATTTAGGGTGTCTCTGAACATTGCTGCATTCATGTTTCCCTCTATCCTGACTAGTCTTCCAGTTCCTGCTGCTGAAAAACATCCCCACACCATGATGCTGCCACCACCATGCTTCACTGTAGGGATGGTATTAGCCTGGTGATGAGCGGTGCCCGGTTTTCTCCAAACGTAACGCCTGGCATTTCCTCCAAAGAGTTCAATTTCATCAGACAAAGAATTTTGTTCTTATGTTCTGAGAGTCTTTCAGGTGCCTTTTGGCAAATTGCAGGTGGGGAGGGCTTCCGTCTGACCACTCTACCATACAGGCCTGATTGGTGGATTGCTGCACAGATGGTTGTCCTTCTGTAAGGTTCTCCTCTCTCCACAGAAGAACGCTGCAGCTCAGACAGAGTGACCATTAGGTTATTAATCACCTCCCTGACTAAGGCCCTTCTCCCCTGTTCTCTCAGCTTAGATGGCCGGCCAGCTCTAGGAAGAGTCCTGGTGGTTCTAAACATCTACCACTTACGGATGATGGAGGCCACTGTGCTCATTGGAACTTTCAGAGCAGCAGAATTATTTCTGTAACCTTCCCCAGCCTTGTGCCTCGAGACAATGCTGTCTCAGAGGTCTTCAGACAATTTCTTTTGTCTTCATGCTTGGTTTGAGCCTTGACATGCACTGTCAACCCTGGAACCTTATATAGACAGGTGTATGCCTTTTCAAATCATGTCCAATCAACTGAATTGACCACAGGTGAACTCCAATTAAGCTGATGAAACATCTCAAGAATGATCAGTGGAAACAGAATGTACCTAAGCTTAATTTAGAGCTTTACAGCAAAGGCTGTGAATACTTATGTACATGTGATTTTTTTAGTTTTTTTTTTTTTTTTATAAATTTGCAACAATTTCAAAAAAAAAAAAATTTCACATTGTCATTATGGGGTATTGTGTGTAGAACTTTAAGGAAATACATTAATTTAATCTATTTTAAAATAAGGCTGTAACATAAAAAAATGTGGAAAAAGTGAAGCGCTATGAATACTTTCCGGATACACAGTACATCTATTTTTAGTTGTCTTTTCGACGTCTTTTAAACACAAAAATGCTTTGGGGGGTTAACCAAACTATGATATGTTCTCTTTTCTCAGGCTGTGTATTATGTACAGTCACTGAACTCTGAGATGGCCAAGTGGGCCCAACAGGCCCAAACTTCCCCCCTGCAGCGCCGTCTCTACCTCCTCCAGGCCCAGCGGCCCACCCTTCAAATTTGATCTGCCCACCACTGCTAACACCCATCCTGGGCTTCCCACTCATCGGGCCACCTGGCTTCACTCCGGGCCCACCATGGGAGGATGCCTCTCCAAACCCAAACCAGGTGATGAACACACTTATATGGAAAACACTTAATAATAGGAATGAACAATATTCCATAAATCAGCGGACAGTCGATATTTTCAATATTAAAACTCAAGGCGATACGCCTTGCTGAAAAAATAATGTGTGGAAAATGAACGTGCACTAATTTTAAGGGATGATTCACCCCCAAATTAATATTCTATCATAATTTACCCACCCTCAGGTTGTTCCAAACCCATATAAGCATATTTGTTCTGCTGAAGACAAAGGAAGATATTTGAATTGATGTAATCTCACCAGCCATTTATTGCCATATAAGCTGTAATAATAAAACCTATGGGAATAAATAGATGGGTTGCGAATGGGATATTTACATTCTTCCAATTATGTTCCTTTGTATTCATCAGAACCAAGGCATTTATACAGGAATGGAACAGTATGAGGATGAACAAATGATGGAAGAATGTTCCTTTTTGAGTAAACTATCTCTTTAATTGTCTACCAGGAGTGCTAGCAGTATGTTCAGGTTAGGAATAGGGATGCTCATTTTGGTTAATTTTGGGAACTGACAACCGCTGCTCGCTAACCCAATATTAACCTTGAACTGGTCAGATTAATATTAAATTATTATTTAATTTTCTAAATAATTGATGTTTCTATTTTGTGTCCGACACATTAAATGTTGCATTTTAAAATGCTGATTTATTTTAACATACAAACATATTACAATAGAACATAACAACAGAGCATCTTTACGCACATGCAGTGTTTCCAACAGCATAGAAAAACAGAATAAACTAAATAAAAAGAATAAAATAAATAGGCCTGCCATAGATAAGATTCACTTAAATGACAAATTTAGATTACAAAACAAAAACACTGACTTAATTGTTTTTAAGAACCAGCATATTTTTAAAATAGCAGGCTACCTCAAATCAATCGCTCAATGGAAAATATGCATTTAATTAATGCTCCGCTGTTATTATTATATCATAAACCTGTGGCAACATTTTTATTAGAAGTCATGATTTTAAAGATTATAGCTGCGTCCCAAATGGCACACTATACACTATGCACTCATGCACTATGTACTTATGCACTTACACACTCAACAGGATAGTATATGTATGTAGTGTCGTCCCAAATGGCACACTAATGTTTTTTTTACTAAGCGGAAATTCAAACCGTTTCCCTGATGACGTTTGACGGTTGCCAAATCATTGAAGTAAACGGCCGAATTATCAAATAATACCTGCCGTGAGTATTGCCGCAATCACTATCGGGAGGCGCTATAATCACTCTCGTAAGAGAATTTTGCTTTCACCATCCAAATTAAATAAAGTTATTAAACATGTGCGTCCGATAGCTCCGCCCCTTCCGCTACGTAAGCAAACCTGCGGTCGTTGAGTGCGTGAAGTGTCCATCATTACACACTTCATTTTAGCGGCTGAATGAGTGCGTCATCCGGGTAATTAAAGTGCACTTATTATTTTTAGACTTTTCAGTGTGAACGCACTACTTACACTATTTATACTACAAAATGGCGTAGAATAGTGCATAAGTATGCGATTTGGGACGCAGCTAAAGTCTTGACCGTCTGGTTTTACCTTAGAACTTGTGTGCTTTTACTTTTTTCATCTCACTCAAGGTTCATGCGAGTGCGCTGCGTGTGATGAAAGACAATGATAAGGCTCATATGTTGACTTTTTTTAAAGTATAGGCTACTACAGCATGTAGCACTTTTGTTCTTTACATACTGTATGATACTTCATTAATTTGCAAAGATGTTTTATAAGCTGTAAAATGAAAGCCTCAGTTTGGTGCGGAGTTATCATTATGCAAAAATCAAGACATTCATTAGATTTGTTTATATAGGCTACTTTAAAAATGGATATGAGCGGTGGCGGAGCGTGCTCTGATGGAGAGAAAATCAGCGCACATTTCAGAATATTTTGTTTTGCAGCTTCTTTCTCCAATTGTGCAAATAAACTGAGATATTTATGATGCAGATCCAGGACTAAGGCAACCAGCATCAGCGCTGGTTTGGCATCAACTCGTCAACTCGAATTACCATCCCGCTAGTTAACAAATCGGTGTTACACATTTATGCAGCCAAATATATATATATATATATATATATATATATATATATATATATATATATATATATATATATATATATATATATATATATATTTATTTATTTATTTATTTTTTATCGTTTCACTGATTCCATTAATTGGTTAAAAATGCACCCTTTCGGTTAACAGTGAATCAATTATTATGAACATTCCTAGTTAGCAATCTGCTAATTTTTTTGAGTATAATTTTACCTGTATGGTCAGCTAGATGGTTTTGGATTGACACCTTGAAATAGTGAAAAATAGTAAAAAATAAAAGAACATGGCTATATTATGGCTATTTACACAGAACACATTTTCCATTCCAATGCACTACTTTTCATTGTTTTTCTATGTAAACATGGGCTTGACAGATGTGCGTGACTTTTATGCTCGCATCTCACGTCCTTTACAGCATCTCCAATATGAGGCATGTTTAAGATGCTTTGTCAGTTTAAAAGAATTTCAACATTTACATCCAGCACAGCTCATCAATGTTTATTCCAAAGCAGTGGACTAATTAGAAGAACTCAATTACAGGGCAAGTGTTGTGAGTTTCTGTTTACAGTAGCAAGTTGGCATGACGACTGTATTATTTTACTGCAACATGGAGAAGGAAGCCCTTTAAAAAAAATTCTTGAGTGCTTCATCTTCTGTTTTTAGACACAAAGATGCATTGAATGCATCCTCAATCCTTTTTTTTTTTTTTTTTTTTTTTTTTACAAAATTGCTCCCAATCAGCCTCCCCCTGGGTCCCAGTACAAGCCCAATAGAAAAATGATTATTTAAGGGTCACACTATTCAAAAATGAAAATAAAATATATTAATATTTAGATAGCTCTATTAATTGGTGTCAAAAAAACTAAATCAGTCAATAAATTAAATTTTGTTTCCTAAAAATCACAAAAACAAAAAAAACATTGGTATCAGCTATCTAACACCTATATATATATATATATGTATATATATATATATATATATATATATATATATATATATATAGCAGTATGGATGTTTATCAGCACTGGTGGGAGGCGTGCGTTGGCATGTGAGTGTCCCACCAGTGCTGATATACAGCCATATTGCACTGCTATGAGTGTGATATTGCGTTTATACAACAGTTTGACAGCATAATCGTGTGCATATAAAAGAAAATCAAACACGAAGAGTTTAAAAACCCTTTTGTATTAGAAACTACTTTCTTCAGCCATTCATTCACATCTGCAGCTGACGTCAGAACAGCAGAAGCCATTACTAATTCACCAACCTCACTTTAGAGCTAGTATTTGAATGATTCTCTAGCGTAATGTCTAAAGTGATGACAAAACAGGTGATTTTGCTGACATTTTAAGATTATAAGGCTGAACGTGACATGAAATGCCATCAGTCTACAGAGACTATCTATTACAGCCTACAGTATTTCTTTGTTGCAATCGGTATTTCACAATAATTAACCTCGAAAAAAGCAGCACAAAAACTACCAGATGCTGTTGTGTTTGCGATAAGGCAAAACGCTAAACACGTGCGGGCATTTCTTCTTTCTTTCTACCAACACAACACAAATTCCTGATATAAGAGTCCCATCTTACACTCAATACACTACAATTATATGGTATAAATACAGCACTACAACATACAAGAGAGATCGACTTAGAATATCACTTACCGGTTTAATAATCATGTGATTCGCTGTTGTTAGGAATTACGCTGTTTTAATCTTCTAAGGGCTTATTATGCAATCCTGTCACCATCTTGTGTATAGACAACATCAACCATCTTTGGTCTGCTCAGTATGGCAAGCTAATGGCCGCCGACGTGCTCTCAGAATATCAGAAATGATAAATATTTTAAAATAGGCACTATCCATATAAATAAACCGCATAGTTGCAAACTAAACAACTACATTCTCCATTAAAAAAGCTTCATACATTATGTTGCCCAAAGTGTCCTCTGCTTGTTGCTGTATGTGGGCAGAGTAATACACAAGGGTGAAGGATGAAAAGGCGGTACAAGTGCTGTTACTGGCAGAATATCGCACAGCTATCAGCCAATCAGATTTAAGAACCCGACAGAACTGTTTTAGATATATATTTGCATATCAACACAGGCTCATTGTGAATATGTACCCCTGTATACATTTCTGGAGAGCGCAAATTATGTAGCCAGAACTACCTTTGGCTGCATTTAGTCTGTAAAATGAATGCTACAGGGCTGTATGACGCCACCGACAGCTTCTGTTTCTTTTCGCGCTACCAGCTGACAGATTACCTCCGTGTGGATGGTTTTTTTTCGGCTGTTACCAGTTTGTCCAGTGGCTTGCCATGTACATTGGCAGACTTTAGACGCAGAGAGGAGCTGACAGCGACGGCAGGGTTCAAGTCCAGTGAAGATCGGTTCCCGAAAGCAGGTAAAACAAAAACTAAAAGCAAAAAGTAAAATAAACAAATAAATAGCAGAGTGAGATCGTGTTAAGATCTGAAAACATGGTAAAAATCAGTCAGGGCTTTTATTTTCTGGATTGGTTTTGGAAAATATTGTTGGTTGGGTTTAGTGAAGGTGCTGAGTGGGGGGGTGAAGGGTTCAGTCGGTCAGTCAGTCAGTCAGTCGACTGCCTCTGGTGCATTTACGCGAGAAGAGCAGGAGCAAATACCACTCATGAGAGAAATTTGAGATCTGAAAAAGCGTACACAGCGGCCTCTGGTGGATTCGCGAAAACAAAAACTGCAAACAGACGTACCTTCTGGGACGTATTTCGCACGGAAATGTATGCAGCGGTACATATCCATAACTATCCTGGTTTGATATATATATATAGGTCAGTTAACATGGCTTCTGACTGCTGTTGTGATGTAGCTTTCCTTTAGTGCAGGAGGAATTTTAATGCTCTTAATTGCTCTGTGTTCAAGAGGATTAGACAGTGGAATATGAGTTCAAATGTTTCACAATGTATCGCTGTTTCTCCCATACGATGGCTGGGGGAGGGAACACCACGAAGGAGCACCGAAATGACTTTCATCTGCCCAAAACTCAGTTGTGAAAGCATGACCGTGGGTGTTGAATTTCAGCGGGTCAAGAGAAAGGTTGAACGATCTGAGCCAGACTTTGACATTTCTGACTTCTGTCACTGTTTGGAAAATCACATAAGACATAAGGCTCTGTTTTGAGCATAGAGTATGTCTGAGTATCGGGATGTGTTCGTTTACTGATTTTATCACAAACAACTCTTGCGGTGTGTTTATTCATTAGATTCCCAGTACTTGGAGTACTGTGAGTGTGAATTAATTTGACAAAATTGTGAAAACTTCAGGGTTTCATTTTAGAAAAGTTATTATAGTATGTGTTTATATACAGTGAGGAAAATATTGAAGTATTGAACATTTTTTCTCAGAAAACATATTTCTAAAGGTGTAGATGACCTGAAATCATCTACAAATAAATCCACATATGCAAAGAAAACAAGGCTGATTAGCTCACACATTAAGTTGTGCAATAAAATGCAATGACAAAGTAAAAGTATTGAACACATGAAGAAAGGGAGGTGTAGAAAGGCAGTGAAAGCCCAGACAGCAACTGAAATCTTTCAGTAGTTCTTCAGCAACCCTATGCTATTCACATTGAAAATGAATATTAGCTGCTTAAGTCTAACATCAACATTATCAGGATGATAGAGATGACATTTCAGCAGGACAGCGAGGCAAAACACAGGCAAGGAAACTCTCAAATGCTTTCAGAGAAAGAAAATCAAGCTGAAGAATGGCCCAGCCAATCCCCTGACTTGAATCCAATAGAAAATAAAGCTCAGATTTGATAGACGAGACCCTAAGAAGCATCAAGATGTTTACACTCTGTTGAAGTCTGTGAACAAATCACAACTGAGCAATGCATGTGACTTCATTCTCCATGAGAGGCGTCTTTAAGCTGCCATCACCAAAAAGCCTTTCATATAAAGTATTAAATGAGTTCCATTGTTATTACACACAACCAATTTTGTTTTTATGTTTGTATTGTTTGGGTTTTTAACAAAATCTGGTTTAATTTCATGTCAACAGCTCGTTTAGAAATATTACTTCCAGGAAAAAAAAAAAAACACATTCAATACTTATTTCCCACACTGTATATAGGTGAATCTAGAATTGCAGTTACATTTTGCATCTCCAACTTTTTTTTGAAAACAAAAACTTTTTAAAAATCCTGTGAAATTAAAAATGTTTTTTAGATGTCAAAGCATCAGTATGTTAATTTTAATGATATTTATAAGCTAGTGTGCTCAAAAACAGTAACATATAATGTTACAATACAAATAATAACATATAAACCTAACATAAATATCAGAATCTTGCTGTTTGTTGTCTCATACTTCATTTTCTCATCAAAAGCTTTAAAATAAATTTACCCACAATTCTCTAATGCATGCAAAAATCAATAGTTCAAATGTTTCCCTTCTACAAAAATAAACCGTGAACTTCAAAATGTTATAGACTCCAAATCCAAACTAATTCGCTTTGCTAAGCTGTAACTACCAACGAAATGATTCTAAAAGACTGAACGTAGTGCAAAATATAAATAAATATATACATAAACGTAGATCTGAGAGAACTGGAGCTTTGTAGGCTGCATACAGGAAAGAGATTTTGAGTGTAGTTTCTTCAATTAGATGAGCGTGCTCATTAATGATCTGTCATATGGTATTTTCTCAGTTATGACATGGAAAACAAAGGGTCGTCGGCTAGCTCTGAGATGCTGAGTTTCCTTTCCTTTCCTCCGCCGGCTCAGTCATCTTGCATGATTTTCCATTGATTTTAATTAAGCTTCACTCAGCAGGTGTGAATTCCTGTGTGATTAAGGCGTAAGAAGCAGGCCCTCAGCACATTTTTCCAGCCACAGAGAAAACCAGACAAGATTGGTTTGCACTAGAGGCACATTGCACAATCACTATAAAGACAGTGTAAATTAAAATAGTGCTTCTAGTGTTCTTCTCCAACAAATGCTCGTATTTATATTTGTTATTGGAAATTAATGAGGCGTTTAACCCAAAAATCTAAATGCAGTAATTACCTGCCCTGTCGTACTCAGTGGGTCTCATCTTGTTCGTATTTATAAGCACATTTGAAATTGTCAAGAAAAATTTCCACCAAGGTGTACACATATGAGCTTGTTCTTAACCTCGTTTTTTGGAGTCTCCTAATGAGTGCTCATGTGCACATTTAATTTGTAATTTGCATAATAAATGCCCAAACTAGCTCCATATAAGGGCTGTCCACAAAGCAGCACTCCTCCAGAAAAAGACACTTATGTACGGTGCCCAGGAAGTGCAAAACAGCATTACAAAGTGTGAAACACTTTTACAAAGCTCGAGACAAATTTACATTTTGGAAAACATTTTTACCTATCATCAGACATAATTCCGTAGGAAAAACAATTTTATCAAGGACGAAACAAATTTATGAAATGCTATAGAAATGCTATGTGAAACGCTAATGTGGATGCGCATCGTTTTCATTCTAAAATGCCGTTTAGAAATCTAAAACATATTAGTGTAAACGGGGCCTGACATAGGACATACTTGATTATTTATCCTCCTGGGACCCAAAGAATTTTTTTCTTTTTCTTTTTTATGTGATTTCCTACATCCTTTGGGTTGAAACAAAATTCTACAATTTAGCGTTTTTACATTTTGTTTTTATTTTTAATTTTACAGCATGCCCACTGTAGTGGACCACAGGACCATTTTAGTTCGAAACAACCGCCAAACTCAGACAACAAAACTGTACAGGATATGGCTGTAAAGGAATATTAATCCAAAATTAGTGTAACAAAATCAAAAGAAAAGCAATTTGTTTCCTTTTGTATTGAAATTCCTGAAACAGATTAGTCTGAAAGAAAGCCAAACTCAAAAAAAAAAAAAAAATCCAAATGGATTAAAGTGCTGTTAATCCAAAACAAATTTAACATAAAAGTGATTAAAACTGATGGTCATTCTCTAATTGTTTCTAATTCTCTAATTGTCTGATTGTCAGACTCCAAGTCAGAGCCCCCCTTAACTATCTTATAAAGAATCCTCTCTGCTTCAGTTCTGCCTCCTACAGCATGCAGTCATTAATTACATTAAGATGGTCCTGGTGTCCACTATAGTGGACATTTAGAAAAGGATGATATTTTGAAACACAAACAAGTTAACAGCTTTGAAAGCTAAATTTATTGTTCCTGACACTTTAATAAACAAATATATATGTAATAATAATAGTAAAAAAATATTTAAAAAGCAAAATTTGACATACTTCTCTCCTTGCCATAAAATGTGCTTGCTTGTATGCTGGCCATATTGGATGCACTGCAAGAAGTGGTTCCTGGCATCCCAGCCAATCAAATGACATTTCATTAGAAAGCCCAGGATGTCCTCTGCACAGTACAACAAGACTTGACAGAGTAGCTCAAAAAAAAAAACAAAGACAATTCATGAAAACACAATGTCCACTACAGAGGACACAAGTCAATGGACGGGGTCTCAAGAGGCTATATGCTGATTGGATATTGTACAATTTCAATGATAAATTGCCATGGTCAACATCCTAAGCCTGCTCCTCACAAAATGTGTTTACAAAACATCACTTACGCAATTCTTCAAATATAAATAAAAATAGTAAAAATTCAGGTAAAACG